CCCCCCATAGCAGGCCAGGGACACGGGGAGCAAAGCCGCAGCGGCGGGGTGCCTCGCCTCTGAGGCTTTGCTCTGGCGCGGGACCCGCTTTGCTCCCGGTACCCCTAGTCTGCTGGAGACGGTCTCCAGCAGACCAGGGGCACCCTGAGCAAACCCGCCGGGGCTGCGGCTTTGCTCCCGATGCCCCTGGTCTGCTGGAAACGGTCCCCAGCAGACCAGGGGCACCGGGAGCAGCTTTTCTCGCCCCGGAGTTCGAGGTGGCTGACCGCTGCCTGTGAGCTCCGGGGCGCGAGAGCCCCGTTCGTAAGTGCGGATCCGACATAAGTCGGATCCGCGTAAGTCGGGGACTGCCTGTAGTTTAAATTGCATCCAAGATTTCAGTTTAATCCTGTATAGGGGTGTAACATCCTGGTTAAGAAGTTAACTGTTTAAACGGATTGTTCACTGGTTAACAATGATCCCCGTAGCATGGGGTTGCTCCAGTCCAGCTGGGCCTGCTGCACCGTGGGCTGCTTCAGCCAGGTCGGCCAAGCCTGCCGCACCATCAGTGGCAGGAAGCTTCCAGCCCTGGGGCCCTGCTGCTGGATCTCAGCCCCGCTGGGGCAGCCTTCCACTTACAGGTGCTCCCAGGCACCAGTTAACTGGTACCCAGTAAGCATCACCTGGGTTCACAACTGTAGTCAATGCAAGAGGTGTGTATGAATGCATGTGCTTAGATATACAAGGTCTGGTGACAAGATGTAACGTGGAAAGGAGAAAGACAGAGACCATAAAGCAAGAAGATGGTTAATTTTTTGTCTTGTGGGAATTTTCAGGAATTCTAATACAAGAGGAAGCAGATCACAGTTGAAGTCAAACTAGTCATTCGTATCACAGCATAAATTGCTGTCTATATTAATCTCCTTTTGGAGGCTACACAGTGTAAATAATCTAATCTTCCATTACTTACAGCAAATAGAGCACCAGAGCACCTTACGACTGTGTTGCAACACTGAGGATCTGTGATTTTTATGATGATTCATCAAAGACTTCATAAGATAATTAATGCAGGAGCATTTGAATCATTGTTATTCAGTGCCTGCTCACAGAGTAATACAGTAAGGAACACGATGTGGCTGTTATGTAACTTGTGGAATGTATAAACTCTTACCATGTGAGCATTGACATTCTGGGGAGTGTAAACAAATTAGAGGAACAATATAGGTCACAGGGCAAAAGGAGGAGGAGATGGTCCAAGTGATTTTGGAAACTTTGTCTCCTGCTCTCTTTTTCCACCAGGCACACATGCACTAAAGTTATGATTCCATCTTTGGGTTTTAGACATAAGCAAGCCACCCTTCCAGGATATGATTGAATTGGAGTCCCTTGCTGGACTTACAGATAGCACCATAGCATTTTTGATTATTCATAGTATGGAATCATCAAGTGACATCAAAAATTGCCAGTTGAGTTTGGGCAGTCGCTGGATGCAGAGGAGGTGTGACGTTTCCAACATTCAGCAGCTGAAATGTTTTTTTTTCACTCCACACAGATTGGAACATTGTTGGGTCTCTCAGTGTCTCCTCCACATAGCTTCTTCCCACACTTCTGCCCCTTATTGCCTGGCTTGAGGCCATATGTGTGTTCAGAAAGCTACAGCAACAAAGAAAATGCAACAAAATGGAAACAGCTTCCCTCCTCCCTAGTCAAGAGCTCTTTGAAGGTCTGAGTAACATCCATCCCATTTTGTTGTGTGCCTTATACTCCAGCAGGACATATTTGTGATTTATTTATTTTGGGGGGCATAGAATAAATTGTAAGCATCATAATGAAAGCTGTATTATGCTCGTGGTCTTCCCTAGTTTTATGGAAAACATAAAATCTTTGAAATGATTCAGTGTCTGCCAGTTATTTACTGAGCAGTCTGGGAGGGAAAAACTGGACAGATGTGATCAAGGACAAGTAAATCCTTTTGTAGTCATGACAAGCATGTGTGTTGTGTAGTGGGAGTCAGGCTCCAGGATCTTGTATATAGATGCTGAGCTGCTTAGGTGACTCATCCTGACAGTCAGACCAGGTGGATTCTGTTCACCCTAACTCAGATTATAAAGGGTTTAGATTAAATGTCCTTCCAAGGCCAACTAGGAGCTAGGGATGTGAACGACTTGTCAAGTAGTTGACTATCCGGTAAGTAAATGCTTCTTGGATGGTCAACACACTAGTTAACTAGTCATTTCTCTCCCCTCCTCCCCCCACACTTGCTGTCTCTATCAGAAAGAGACTCCCACGCTGACCCCAGGCTCCGTGCGGTGCTGCTGCCTTGAAACACAGCGGGAAGCATGGGGACCAGTTGGGGACTATCCCGCTGGCCCCGTGCTCTCTGCAGCGCTTTCGCCTTTGAAGTGTCGCAACAGCCCTGGGGGACTGTTTCTACACTTCAGAGGCGAAGGTGCCCTTATCGACTAATCGAAATTTAACATCCCTACTAGGAACTAGCGACAGAGACGTTGCCCTACGAACAGTTGAGCTTGGGTTGTTTAAGTCCCCTGATAAAGGACACTCCAGGCACGGCGGGAGTTTGGACCCTAGCCTGCACACGTGTATTCTGGTAGGAGCAGGCTGATAGGGCCACTTGCTTAGGCTTGCCCAGGGAGTTTTTTAAAGAGCTATACAATGTTCATGCTAAACAGTGAAGAGTTCTACCCTTCTTATGGGGCTGCATTGGAATCTTTTGGTAAGTCAAACAAGCTGCGTCTTGTGCTTAGAGTATTAGAAATCTTTTCTGCTTCTCTTAACTTCAGAAAGCCTCAGGGCAGCAGTTTGAGAGGCGGTGAATGGGCAGCTAATGTGGTATTTACAACCATGTATTCGCTGATGTGTATAGAAAGGGACATACACGAAAGTCTGGACTGCTTTTTACAAAGGTGGCATTTTTCGCTAACTATACTCTATTTAGGTTTTTTTAAATCTATGTTGAATAAGGCTTCATATAAAGGTGTTTTATTTATACAAAACCTTCATCAGCACCCCAACCAAGGTGCCCAGAGTACAGTACTAGATCATTGGTTCCCAATCTGTGGTCCGGGGACCCCTGGAGGTCTGCATCGGTATGGTGGGGGGGCTGCAGAAAGTTAAGGAAAGGAAAATAAATGTAAGGCTCGGCCGCACTGCGGGACTGGGACTTTCCATCAGACGATTCTCGCCTGGGGCTGGCCGCGCACACGTTGTCTCCCTTCCCCGGGATGGGATCTTGCTACTCCAGGAGGCACCATCCATCCTGCTGTCACTGCCTGCGCTGCCGTTTATGCTCCAGCCCTCTCCCCCTCCCAGTCCTGCGGTGGGCCTGATCCTTACATTCCTTTTTTTTTTTTGTTTGTCCCCCGGGGCTCTGCGCCTGGCCAAGGGCGGAGTGCTGGGGCAGGAGCTGCTTTCAGCCACAAGAGCCCCCTCACCATATCCTCCGTGGATGGGCAGGAGACTGGGGGGAGGAGCAGGAGCTAGGGAAGTAGCACAGGCCATGGGACGTGCTGGCCGCTGCTTCCAGCCGCTCCCCTTGGGGTTTGTAAAATTTTAACATTGATAAGGGGTCCGCATGCTTGAACAAGTTGGGAACCACTGCACTAGATTGTCAAAGTATAATCATACACGGAGTCAATGTTATATTGGGTGTTTATGACATTTACTTCAGTGTAGCAGGTGATCTAGTGCACAGGAACAGGAAGGAGAGGCCGGGGGAGGCTGGACTTGTTTTCAGAGAAAATAATACAATATTTTTAAAATTGGAGGTGGATGAGAAGTGGCAGATTCCACCCCCCAAGACCGCAGCAGCCCCACCTTTGTGCCGTGCGTACTGGAGATGATCTAGTGGCAATATTAAAAACTGGCTGGAGCTTGAGACCAGTTACCCACCCGAAAGGTGCCCATGGGGATGTCTGCACACCCTGGCTTACAATCCTCTGACTTGTTTACTTCTTCCCACTTTGAAGGTAACCGCTCTGGTGTCACTGTAGAAGAGGACCCTGACAGCAAGCTGATGAATGAGGACATATGTATCCATGCGTGGCCCTGTTCCTATTACTTAGACCCTGAGAAACGATGGGTCTACGGCAGACTCTCACTGACTCCTCTAGCGGTCCGATTTACAGCTGACAAGACGGGCGAGCTGCTGGTCCACTTCCATCTCTCCAGCATCTGTGAGATCAAGAAGGAGTCCTCCAGTTTCATCTTCAGTTCCCTCACAATTCTGGAGAAGGAGAACACCAAGCACTGGTTCAGCTCCCTCCAGCCCAATAGAAATGTGGTCTTCAACATCCTGGAGCACTTCTGGAGGGAGCAGTTGCTGGCGCGCCCAGGGGCTGGAGCTCCGCAGACGACAAAAGGGAAAGAACTGACGGGCTTACTCTCTGCGTCTCAGAAACGTCTGGAGGATACAGCAAAAGTGCTCCACTATCAGGGTGAACAGTTTGGGAACATCATGTCAGGGCTGACCAAGATTGACTCAGACCTGGATGTAGCAGACAGGTACAGTAGTGTAACTGGTGCTCAACAGTAATTGATGCTTCATATGGAATATGTCTGAAGCCTCACTGTCAGATTTTTACATTCAGTAATTGTGAGACTCCCTTCCATCCACCTTTTATTAAGTTTCAGTGCTTTATGCCTCCAGTTTTGGGTTAATTAGGGCAGTGCTGCATGTGTCAGATGGCATGGTGAGTTTGTGATGTGGAAAATCATCTCCTAGAACAGCAGTGGGCAATAAACAGCCTGGACACGGTTCACCAGGGTTAAGTTCTGGTGGGCCACCAGCACTTGATTTATCTGTGCCTCCGCAGGTGTGGCCTCTTGCACCTCCCTTTGGCTGCGGATAGCTGCTGTGGGAAGCAGCGTCAACCAGGGCAACGCTTCCCGCAGCTCCCATTGGCAATCTGCCATCAACAGGCATTTCAAGCAGCCATGCCTGTGGAGGTGCAGGTCAATAAAGCACTGGTTGGTAGCCATGGCAATTCATGTCTGCCCACCCCTCGGCTAGGAAGAGGACCAACCGATCTAACTTGCGCTGTGGCAAATGTGACCCCCTCCTCCATGCATGCTAAGACCTTGCTGTGGTCCCCCTCTATAAGGGTGCGTCTGCACTGCACCTGTAGCTCAAAATAAGCTATGCAAATTGCGTAGCTTATTTCGAGTTCATTTTGTAATCGCTTATTTCCAAAATTTAACACTGCCTACACAGCCCTCGTTTTGAAATAAATCGCTGTTCCAAAACCTCCCTTGCTCCTCGTGGAATGAGGTTTACAGGGACATCAGAATAGCGAGCCCGTTCTATTTCGAAATAACGGGCATGCTCAAAAGAGGTGGAATAGCGCTGCAGTGTAGATGTAAGTGGAATAGCGCTGCAGTGTAGATGTAGCCTAAGAGAGTAGCTTAGCTGTTCCGGAGCTCATCTCTCCTCCCTTGCTCTACTGTGCAAAGGGCAGAGCTCGAAAATCTGCTCCTAGATGGGCCTGTCCATTGCAGAAGGGGCATGAGACCTCTGCGACTAAAGGAGAGAGGTGTCCTTTCCACTCCCTGCGCAGGTATTGACTAGGGAAGTAACATTTCGATTATTTGTCTAATCAAAAAGTCGATAAGGGCGCCCCGCCTTTGAAGTGTAGCAACAGCCCGAGGGCAAAAGCGCTGCGGGGACGACAGGGCCAGTGGGGGACTTCCCTCAAGCAGTGCCCTGCTGGCCCCGTGCTGCCTGCGGCATTTCAAAGTGGCAGTGCTGCATGGAGTCTGGGGCCAGTGGGGGAGTCCCCCACTCACCCAGGCTCCATGTGGTGCTGCTGCTTTGAAATGCTGCATGCAACCCGGGCTAGCTGGGGACTCCCCCACTGGCCCCAGGCTGCATGCGGCGTTTCAAAGTGGCAGCGCTGGGTGGGGGCCACGGGCTATCCAATAAGCAATTGCTTATTGGATAGTCGACTAGTCGTTCATAACCCTGGGATTTTGGATGGGGGAGATTTTGGCTTTAGTGCAGCAATACTTGGGGAAACGGCTGTAGAAATAGCATCTCCATGTTTTACATGTGTTTTCGAACAGCCACTTGTTTTTACTTACAAATGCTCATATCCGTTAGACGCTAGCAGAATCAATATAGCTGTGGAAGAAAGCTGCTGGGGTCTGTTTTTGTTTTGTGCCACATTGATCAAAGTATCTGCAGAAAGTACTTTCCTTACAAGGAACAGAAAGCCTGGCCTAGAGGGTTTTTTTCCAAATGGCCCATTGCCCTGAATAGAATAGGGATGTTCAAATGCATGTAAGTAACTGTGGAACCGCTGATATTTTCCATGGTTACACGTGTGGCAGCAATTGACTCCCTGGGAGCACACAGGGAGATGGCTTTTAAACTGGCTGCTTCCCCATGCTGCTGCCTCTGTATCAAAGGCAGGAGCAGGACAGTCAGCTCCTTGGGAGCCAGTGTAACTGCCCCCCTTTTCCTCACAATGCTGCCTCTGACTCAGAGGTAGCAGTGCAGGGCTGCGGGCGGTTCCCCGGGAGACTTCACTGCAGGTTCTGCAGTATAAAGATTGTTTCCGCTTTATACTGCGGAGCCTGCAGCATGTAACTGTTGAGGCTTTCAGCGATTACACATTTACCTATTTAACCGACTTAACATTCCTACTATGCAGGGAGGGGAATTTCATCTCAGTGAGTTCATTGCATTAAAAAAGAGAGAGAGAGAGCAGCTGACTCTCCATTAAACGCTACAGTAATAGATGCTTGATTAAAACCTGAAATTGATAGAATGTCAACAGAATAAATTACTCACATGTAGAAGACAATTCCTTTTGACTGTGCATATGAAACATTTGGCTTCCAGCAATATAATACTATCTCCGGTATATTTTTATACTGGATGTTTTTTGGAGCCCTTGCATTGCATAGCTGGTTGATATTTGTATAGTATGATTTCGTCTCTCTAATCTAAAGGCTTTGGAAGCATGGCTTTGTAAAACCTTGTTAATTACATGTCAAAAGCTATTTTGTATATTTTTGTCATGATCCTACAATTATCTATCTCGGAGCACCACAAGGCATTATAAGCTTTTACTTGGAGTCTGGTGTGAATGAGTCTTTAAAGATAAAAATAGGCATGTCCAGTTTTAAAAATTAGTTATCTCATTGGTGTGAAACACGCTTTAGATACCCATGACACAAGTTCCCTGCCCTTCGGACTTTACAACCAAAGACCTGGTCCTGCAGCCTGTGAGCTCTGTGGAAGCCTAGGATAGTTGGCAGATTCACCGTGGGGGGAAGGGTCTCTGCAATTTCAAAATCTTGTCATCCATCCGACTGATAACGCAACCAAAATATCAGTGTCTCATGGTGGGTAAAGAAGAAGATGAGAGAAGGATAAACCTCAGTAAAAACTCAAGGGTAGAATACCATTATACATGTTTCCTATAGAAACCAAACCATGTAAATTGTTTCCCATGTTTCTAGTCAGTTACTTTTAACACTTTGAAAGATTTTTAAAATTCCTATGGTCCGCTGACTCCAGGGTTTTGATGCCCAAATGATACTGTGGCGTGGGAAGACAATGCATACTCACAAGGTCTGGTTTTCATAGTTCCTCTATGCATAAAGCTGCCATTGAACTTCACAGCTACAGAACGGGGTCCTGAAACAGCAAGAGGTGACATATTAGAATTCTGTTTTAAACATTTCTTCTCCGTCCCTCTTAACCTATCATTCTTAGGCATAGTACAGGATCTCATTAGTTAGCTCTAAGTCCAGAGCCATTATTTGTGTTGCTTGATGTCAACAAATATCTGGAGTTCATATTGTAGTTGGGAGCAGGCTCTCAAAACACTTCATTCTGCTTTCCTCTTTTATTATACATTCAGAGACTTGTTCCCAATTTGTGTGTTGTTTTTTTTTTTTTTTTTTTGGCATTTTATAATTTTATCTTTCAAAGTAGATGGATTTCTTCTAACAGGCCTGTTGGAACCTTGTACAGCACTTTGACAGCTAGGGAACAAAGTGTATTTGGTTATAGCTTCCTTTTGAGATTAAATTCTACATTTGCTGCCAAACGAAACACGATCGTGAAGTATTAAAATTGTGTATAGAACTGCTTTCATACTTGTATAATTACTTTTGGGCAAGACAGTGGCAACATGATGCATCATTGAGTTGGATAGTATCTTTCTAGAGCATGGAAAATGCAGATATGATTAAGCCAAACACATTTCTGACAAATGCCTATACATCAGTAAAACTTACAGTGCCAAGATTTCTAAATGAACTTAACAGAAATAGATGCACTCCACCCTGGCATTTTGTGTGTTTTAAGTTGTCTTCTCTTTATCAGCAAAAGTAATTTCTAATAACTCTAGAGAATGAAATTCATGTTAATAACTAAGCATCTACTACAACATCATATCCAAAGTAAAACTCTTTGAATGTAAAGATGCCAATTCTGGTTTTGGTTGATCTCTAGACTTTTCAGTTTGGCCTGAAGGATGGACGGGTGATAGGGGAGGGCGGACAATGGGTGCACCGGGGCCCCCATTAGAGAGGCTGCCCATCCAGCTGGCATCACAGCCTGGTTCACATGGTTGCAAAGCCACTCAGGTTTGGCCTGATAACCCCATCTGTCATAGGGTCACCAGACCAAATTCAAGTGATTCTGTGACCATGTGAGCCAGGTCGCAATACTCAGCAGAGTGAATGTGGGATTAGCTCGCTCTCCCGCCTCACCTTTGGACCTCTCCTTAGTGGTAATTTTTTTGGGGGGAAGGGTGGGAGAGCCTCACTTTTTAATATTTTTGCTGCGGGCTCCCCAAATCCTCTGTGTCGTGGTATGGGCTCTGACACTGACAAAACACACCCAAGGGACACCAGCCCTCATTTTCCTCCCACCAGTAAATTCCAGGTTTATGCACACGGAACAGTATGTCCTCTGTTCCCAGATAACTCAGAAGACGGAGAGGGGACACGATAGCGGTTTTCTAGTACTTAAAAAGGTTTTACAAGGACGAGGGAGAAAACTTGTTCTCCTTGGCCTCTGAGGACAGGACAAGAAGCAATGGGCTTAAATTGCAGCAAGGGAGGTTTAGGTTAGATATTAGGAAAAACTTCCTAACTGTCAGGGTGGTTAAACACTGGAATAAATTGCCCAGGGAGGTTGTGGTATCTCCATCCCTGGAGATACTTAATAACAGACTGGATAAACATCTATCAGGGATGATCTAGATCAGTGTTTCTCAACCAGTGGTACGAGTCCCCTCAGGGGTACTCAAAAGATGTCGGGGGCAGTGGGAGGGGGGTTTCATCAACACAACTGAAATTGGGAGAAAACTGAATTTTGGTTTTAAGTTTTACAGCGCTTTACTATTTTTGTACTTTTTACACCCAAAAATTTCATCACCCACCCGGCTGCGATTAAGTTGTTTAAACAAATGTGTTGCAATGGTAGAATTTTTTTTGTGTGTTTCTGAAAACTGTAGGTCCTGGGGGTACCTATTTTTTTTTTTTTTTTGGAAAAAGGGGTACTTTATAAAAAAAAAGGTTGAGAAACACTGGTCTAGATGGTGCTTTGTCCTGTTTTGAGGGCAGGGGACTGGACTCGATGACCTCTCGAGGTCCCTTCCAGTTCTAGGATTTTATAATAACCAGGGCTCGCCGAACCTTGGCAGGCCCCACTCGCCAGCCACACTGTCCAGCGATCTGCACATGAGCAGATCGTTCTGCGCACGTGCAGATCACCCGAACCCGGCTCTTCCGGGTTACAGTCTACTCGCCGTGGGCGAGTAGACTGTATTATTTGTCGAGCCCTGAAATAACAAATAATAAACTTGAACATCTGGCTCATGCTCACGATGAAAATAGTGGACTTAAGTCCCAGTTTTGGTTCCCATCTCCGACCTAGACTTGCTTCAACGAGTCACTTATTTCCCTTGCTTTAACAGCCTGGTGCTGGGGTTCTCCGTAAGCTTTCTAAAGCACTTTGAGGTCTCTGTTTGTTTGCAATATGCTTCAGAAGTGCCAAGTATGTTTTTTTTTTTTTACACATAGGAATGAAGAGTTCAGTTTCAAATGTTTATTTCTTAATCCAGAGAGAGAGTTGTTGTTGTTGTGGGTTTTTATTTATTTATTTATTTATTTAAACAGATAGGAAGATAGTGGAGACTTTGTGCTGATGTTCATTATTTTTATATCATCTCTTTCCTATTAGGTTGTTGACAGAACTTGAATCTCCTCCTTGGTGGCCTTTCAGCGGCAAAGTCTGGAAAGGGCCATTGGAAGCAAAGCCAAAGGAGGCAGCCATGATTTCAGGGTCAAAGAACCAGGAAGGAGTAATCATCAGAATTCCAGTTATCATCACCCACAGGACAAACTCTAGTGTCACACCAGGAAAACTCACGCTTCTGGTTACTGGCCTGGAAATCAGTGACTCTAATTCTCAGGTCATTCACTGGTTTGAATTGAAAGATATTGATGATATCAAAGTTCATACGCCGTATGAGATCAGTGTCCGTCAGAGGTTTATTGGGAAGCCAGACACCTCTTATCGGCTCTTGTCAGCAAAGATGCCAGAAGCAATCCCGATCTTGGAGATGCAGTTTAGCAAGAAAATACAGTTTTTGGAAGACGCTTTGGGCTTTGTCGGTGCAAGGAAGTCTCCGCAGACAGATCTGGGCAATTCCATTTGGCAAGCAGGTAAATGACAGAAACGAAATGATCAGTCACAAAGCTGGTTCGTTAGTAAGAACTGTTCTTCAACAGTTCAGTAGTTTTGGAAGAAAACTGCAGATTTTACAGTGTAAATCCTCTTCCCTGTCTTAGAAATCTAATGGTGATGAGGTTAGGGATGTTAAATATCGGTTAATTGAATAGTCGATTAACTTCCTGAATTCTTGTCGGTTACTTGACTATTCTCTGGGTGTGGGACCGGCAGCCAATGTGCTCCAGCTCCATCCTCAAGGAACCCCCTGCCACTCTGTGCTGCTGCTTCTGTATCAGAGGCAGCAGCGCAGGGTGCCAGGCAGGAGCTGGTCCATGAAGGGAGCCAGTTTAAAATCAGCTCCCCTTGTGGACCGGCTGATACAGAGGCAGCAGCTCCTGCCAGGGCAAGGTCGGGAGGGGGCAGTCTTGATCCCCATTGCCACCCTTCCCTGCAGCCCACCTTGAAAGTCTGGCCTCTTTCGGATCTCGGGAGTGCTGAATACTGGATCAAGTTGTGCAGTCAGAAGTTGAGTTATCCAGACATACTAATTGTTTTGGAAAATGATTAGTATGATACATGTCTATCAGGGATGGTCTAGACTGTATTTGGTCCTGCCATGAGGGCAGGGGACTGGACTCGATGTCCTCTCGAGGTCCCTGCCAGTCCTAGTATTCTATGATTAGTTTTGATTTGTTTCCTTCAGATTCTTGTCTCCATCTTAAGTACCTCTTTGCTCTCTTGCTCCTATTGGACTTTGTACCTGTCTTTTTGACAGCGGTCTTTTGAGATCCACTTCCCCATCTCCCCACCCCCACACACACACTTGTGTCTCAGCTGTTTTCCTTTTGGCTCATGACAGCTGGAAATAGCTCAAACGGCTAACTTCTGGCCCAGCGTGATGTAAAATGACCAAGGTGTTAAATGTAACAATGGGGAGACCTGTGGCACCTTAAAGACTAACCGATTTATTTGGGTGTCAGCTTTCAGGGGTCAAAATCACTTCTGATGCCCTACAAAGCCACTTTTGACCCATGAAATCTTACATCCAAATAAATCTGTTTGTCTCTAAGGCATCACAGGATTCCTCGGGTTTTTGCAGATGCGGGCTAACATTGGCAACTTCAAGAGACATGATTAGAATAATAATTAAAATTACAACAGACCAAAAACCAACAGAATCTTATTACTCCTAGGACTTACTCCTGTTACTCTTTCATAACAGATCATTTGTTTTTAAAATCCTATTCTTTGTGCACGAGAACTTACTGATTCTGCAGGAGAGTAGATGAAGCCATAGTATAGCCATCTTAAGGGTTTTCTGCAAGGTCAACAATATTTCCCATCACAACCAGAATTAAATTCCCTATTACTATTCCCCACCCCCAGAAAATCTGCAAGCACAGTTTTCTAGAACCCCAAATGGGAGAAGAGCTTGTGTTTCCTTGAAGTCCATTTGGGATTTCACTAATGCCGTTCTAACCTGGAAGGTCTCCGATACCGTGGTGAGGGGTGGCAAGACCAAACTGGTACTGAGATATGGATTGATTCTTTTTTCACGGGTTGTTAGTGTTTACTGAGGAACAAACCCGTTAAAAGGATACATCCCCTGTGCATTTACAAATTGAAGTTCAATAAAAAGCTGACATGGCAAAAGACTAGATGAAACCAACGTACTTTCTGTTCACCAAACTAAAATTGGATTTCAGCAGGGACAAAATGTTCTGTTGTTGACCAGTCTTCAAGGACCAGGGTTTGGAAAAGATTGTTAATTTTAAGGAAATAACTCTTAGGTACTTGGCACTAAAACGTAAGCACAACAACATAGAGAAAAAAAACCCCTGCTGATTTCCAAGCACTGAGTTATCCAGGCAAATTGCTGTTCAGTTCCTGATAGACTTAATGCTTGTTACATAAAATAATTGGTTATAAAGCCTTGTTTTGTGTCATTTCTCACTGCTTCACTCTGTTTGCATCTGAGTCAGTGAGTTGAGGATGTTGCTGTCCTATCCCCACCTGCATTTTTACTGTTTAAGTTGGAAATGCCAATAGAGGAAACTGGAAGTGGTGGAAATCATGACGTCTGCGATTCCACCAACATTTTCCCCTTGTTTGTTCGTTCTGTAGATCCAGTACCACTGACATATTGTTGCCACAAGATGGCAGTCACTGCCTGCATTTTAACCACTGTTGTTCTCCACCTCTCTTCCTCCCTCCCCCCAAATCTCTCTGGTGGAAACATGGAATTTTTCTCTAGGGAAAAAAATGGCTGCTGAATTTTTATTGTAGAACTAAAGTACCCTGCTAATCTTTTGTACAGGTGTCTTCACAATTGAGACTTTCTGTAACAGCAGAGGCTGACTCATGAAATTCCCATGGTTTTGACAGTTCTACAGATGTGCAGTTTGGGGTACAGAATACTGCCACTGTGGTGGGAAAGTTATAAAGTATGCATGTTTCACGTTCATTCATATATACATATTTATCAAGAATATATATTTTTCTCATAGTTTCGACATGGTTTCAGGTAAAACCCTGGTGAAGCATTGTATATCTACTAATGTACCGGGAACCAGTTGTCTGATTATCTTGGATTTGCTTACTTAGCTATAGCCTGTTAGATAAACCCATACAGGGTGTTCAACAGCTTACAATCATTTGCTTCCTGTGCCTTAGTCAGACTGGATGAGATCACTAGACCACCTCGCCAACTACTTCAGAGGAAGATGCAAAAAATCCTACAATGCTGAGTTAAGGGATAGCCTGCCCCCAGGAAAAATGTCCTTCCCTAATAGTTAGAAATGGATTTATGTCTTGCAACAGGAGAGTTAAACATCCCTCCAAAAACTCCTGAATTTGTAATTCTTACTATTACAATTAGTTTTTCTTGTTCTCCATAAAAATGGTCAGGACTTTTTGAGTCCTTCTAAGCTCTTGACGTCAATGATCCTTTGAGTGAAGAAATCATCTTTCCATTTATCAGCTTTAAATGTTGCTGTCTTTCAATTTAATTGAATCTCAGTCTCCCTACTGTATCCCTTTCATTTTTTTGAGTGCCTTTATCACGTCCTCTCCTGTTTCTCCTTTCACCAAGCTGAACATGGCAGAGTATATTCCTCAGGGAAATAACTGGTGAATGGCTATTGAATCTGAATATGCTAATGAATTAACTAGTTCTCAATTGGGAGGAGAGCCAAAGAAATTTTGTCTAAACATAGGCAGACTCTTTTTTCCTCACGTTCCTTAAGACAAGATTGCAGTAGTAGTTTACTATGAGTAGTACTTTTTTTTTTTTTTTTTTTTTAAGTAGGATACTTAGTGGCTCAAAGAATACGAGAGGAAGTTGGACAGAGTAGAGCTGGCACAGTGAATGACTAGCTTGTATTAAAGCTTGACTGTCTGATAACCAAATAATTCCAGGGGATTATGAGTTTGCAGTAATTACTTGTGAGGGATTTAGGTTTTTTGTATTTTTAGTTTAGCTTTTGTCTCCTTTTTCATTAAGAAGTAACGCTATCCAAAGTAGTAGCGTATGTGTTGTCAGGCGGCCAGCCAGCTTGGCACCAGTGCGTTGGATCCAGCTTCCGACTTATTTACTTTCTGCCCTGATGTCTCCAGCAGCTGTTGTCGTTGTGCCGTGTGAGGTCAGGCTGTATGATAGCGAGCGGTGGCCGCCGCTTCCCTCGCTGGGCAGTGCCCCTTTAAGTGGGACCACTTCTGGGATGTTTGGAGTGTCTCCATATGTAAATATGGTTGGTGCTAAACATCGGGGACAATCTGCCTTACAAAGAATGGCCTTTAATCGCAGCACTTCTCTGGAACAAGAGGTATCAGATATTGCAAGAGGAGCCAGTGCTTTAAATAAAGGACAGGTGGCACGCTGCTTCAGAAGTCAAATCCGTGCTGCTGCACTGATTAGCTGTGCGTGCGCTGTTACCGTCAGAATTGCCCTTTTGTGCTGAGGCTAGCTGACATGATTCACAGGTGTTCTCCGGGGCGATCTGTGTTCTGCAAATTGAATTGACTTATCGGGTAAAGGGGAAGCTGGAAGAGCCTACGTCTTTCTTAATGTCCTGCCTCAGAAATGTTCTCTGGTTCAGATGGCTGCTTGGGCTCCAAAAGGAACCTTTTCACAATTGGCCCTTTGGTACTAAGTCCCCTGTCTGGGACATGGCAGCCCTTCCAGTTGCTACAGACAAGGGAGTCAAATATCTGTTAACTGACTGGTCGATTAACCTCATGAATTCTTCTCAGTTATTCGACTAGTCTATAGACCCCAGGGGTGGGGGCAGCAGCCAGTACGCTCTGGCGCCACTCCTGAGGAACCTCCTGCAACTCCGCGCTGCTGCCTCGGTATCAGAGGCAGCAGCAGTCCCTGGCCATGGGGGGTCCAAGCTCCCCACAGAGACTAATGGGGGGAAGATGATGGGAGAGGCTGCCATGAAGCAGTCTGTCTGCAGGGGCCCAGACCAGCAGTGTGGAGCGGCAGCAGCCCCTATCTAGGGGTGGGTCTGAGTTCCCAGACCAGGTGCAAGCCAGAACTGAGCTGGGCTACCTGCCCGTCCAGCTCCTAATACACTTGAAATGAAAAGCTGCAGCAAGGGTAGGTCCCAGAGCCAGGGCAAGCCGGAATTGAGCCGGGCTGTTGGCCAGCCTGCTAAAAAATCTGTAGCCTGTAAGCTTATCGGTTAATTGACTGCATTATTACATCTCTACTTTAGACTGGTCCTAACTACACAACTAACTTCTCAGACTAATGTCACATGCTCCCTGATGTGTTCCGTAGATCAGGGGGGTTGTTTTGGAGGAAGCGTGTGTAATTCAATGTGATGCTTGTTTAATTCCCTCTTGCATCCTGACAGAAGCCTCCACTGTGCAAAACATAAAGCACTTAACTTGGTCTTACTGCCTGCTTTCTCCACCTGTTCCAGCAGATGTCACCGAATGACCGCCTGAATTTCTCTTTACAGCCACGGGTCTTGTAGTAAGTACGGAAAAACCTGGATCCTCATCTGGAGGAGGCAACGGTAGCCAGTTGCAGCTGCAAAAGCAGGAACAAATCGTGTCTGAGTCAGAAACACAAGAACTTAAACAGGTATTGTCAAGAAGAGCCCAGATTAAAGCTGCATAGACCAAAGTACTTTCATTGTACCCTTCCTCGAAATGTACATGCTGTGAAGAGGTGTAGGGTTCATCCCTAGGTCTCCTACAAAGATCTCTTCATTTACTATAGTGCAGGTCATCTTATCCTTCATTTTTCTGGAACACAAGATGCATATTTAAAAAGCAAACAAACAATGAGAAGCCTTGGTGTGTTTACCTACCACTTTTGTTATTTTGGGTGGATTTTTGTTGTTGTGTTTTGCCTGGTTTTGCAAAAGTAGGGATGTGAATGACTAGTCGACAAGCCGCTTCCTCCTGCCTCACTGCCTCTATCAGAAAGAGGCAGCAGGGTGGGGGAGGAGGGGATTCTTCAAAGTGGCAGTGCTGCGTGGAGCTTGGGTCCAGACTCCGAGCTCCACACGGTACTGCCACTTTGAAACTCCATGTGCAGCCCGGGATCAGGGGAGGTGTCCCCAGGCTGCATGTGATGTTTCAAAGTGGCCGTGCTGCGTGGAGCCAGAGATCAGCGGGGGACTCCCCCACTGATCTCGGGCTCCACAAGGCGCTGCTGCTTTGAAACACCACGAGGAGCCCGGCATCAGGCTCCTCCTGGTGTTTCAAAGCGGCAGCGCCGCATGGAGCCCGGAGTCAGCAGGGGAGTCCCCACCTGATCCCAGGCTCCATGCGACGCTGCTGTTTTAAAACGCCGTGGGCAGCATGGGGCCAGCGGGGGACTGACTCTGAGCTCCCTGCAGCGCTTTCACCTTTGAAGTGTAGCAACAGCCCTAGAGCTGTTGCTGTGCTTCAAAGACTGAGGCGCCCTATCGACTAATAGAATGGTTGATGCAGATTGCATCGAGTATTTGATTACTCTGTTACTCGAGATTTAACATCCCTAATTTGTCATCAGGGTGAAAATAGCTCTGGGATTTTGACACTAGGGATGTGAAATCCTGTTTAAAATGTTAACCTAAACAAAATGTTTAACTAGTTAATTGCCTGTGGCCGGGCGGGGGGGGGCGGGGCCGCCGCCCCGGGCCCGGCCCACCTCACCACAGGCTGGGGGGTCTGTTCCAGCCCGGCTGACTGGAGAGCCCCCTTCCCACAGCAAGGTGTGACAGGCCCAGGCAGTCTGGATCAGCCCCCCACCCACAGCTGCTCCAGCTGGACCGGACGCCCGTTACCCATTTACATCCCTATTTCACACATCAAAAAGTTGCAAACTCGTGCTCCCTTTGCTCTTTACTGACAATTCAATGTTTTAATACTGCCTTTCCAGGTCACATTCTTCCCATTTGTGCTTCCGCTTTCCCTGTTGTATGGTTCTTTAGACAGACCTCATCCACGTGAATTTTTTGAATGATCTTTTTTTTTTATTGCTTCCGGGGGTGCTATTGTGCTGGGGTCGGTACAGACACATAGTAGAAAGAGGCTGTACCATTGAGAGTTTGCTATCTGGTTTAGATGTAAGAGCCGACAGATGAATGAGAGAGCTGGGAAGGCGTTGCAGTAAAAAGACTTTTTTAATAATTCCAGTCTAGCTTCCTTAAAATATTATGGCCCGACTTTGTTTTAAATTCCTTTACAAAGTGTTTCCTCCTGTCATGGTTGTTGAAGCCTTTTAGCAGGGAAGTGACTGACCCATGTGCGGTCAAGTGTGCAAAGTAAACAACCTGGAAAAACAAAGGAATATGTTTTGACTAATTATTAGATCTGTAATGAGCTCAATATTTTTTGACAAATGTGACTTTCAAATGATTGTGCCCCTTTAAAATATTTCTTGAAGAATATATTGTGAGGAAGGGGGTTTTCCTGGCACTTTCCTTTTCCCGTCTCTTTAATGATGCTTTTATAGTTCAACTATAGTGTGGTGCAAAATAGCCACGTGTCCTGCTGCAGCTAGTTTGGCCTGTAGTTATCCATTCTCTTCCTCTCCTGTAATTCCAGACACACAACCCCTTTTTAATTCAATTGGACCTGAGTTTCCAAGCGCACAGCAGTGGTTTTAAGGAAGGCTAAAAATGAAAACCTTGCGAAACCATTGTTCTAAAGAATCACTGCTAGCAACTCGGGTGTTTAGAAGTAAGATTAAACTTAACAGAAACCCAAACATTTGAAAGGTTGTCTTCGTGGGGAAACGTAGGGTCGAAAGGTCTTTTTAAACACGAAATACAAACCTAAGACCCACTAAGCACTTCAAAGTTCACCAGTGCCCTGTTGGCTCCAAGTAGCAATTCTGATATTCCTAATACACCCAGCCAAGATGTTTCCAAAATGACTGATTTTAGAGGCCTCTGTTTTGCAGTACCCAAACTGAGAGGCCTGGAAAAGGGTCTGTTTTTTCAGAAAATACTGAGCACCTGCTTTTTTTAAAATCCTGTCCCTTTACTTGCCCCTGGTTGGGCTCCCAATAATTGAGATACTCATAGGGTTGCCAATTCGAAAAGCTGCAGATGGCCTCTAGTCCATCTGGTCTGTCCAAGTTGGCAATTCTAGGTACCCAAAATAACACTAGAAAAGTCTTAGCATCCCAGTCCCTTTTGTCACCCGAGGATAAATTCCATAACCCATCTTTTTGGACAAGAAATGGGTCTTTTGAACTAAATTTCACAGTGACCTTATACATTAGACTCAGCTGAAGTCTCTAGATCTGTCTGCTTTCCAGAGAAGAAGAGAGAAAAGGGGGAAACGTAAGTTATGACTCATGATTTTCACCAACTGTAGGGTTGTCAGTGGTTAACCGGTAAGCATTACCTTTATCGGGTGTTGTTCACACTAGCCCACCAAGATCTGGATTAGGCCAGATGCGCCCAATCAGTGAATTAGCCTGCGAGCAAAGGAGCTTGATGTTGGAAACAGCTACTTAGAAATAAGATCACCTGTGCAGGAATAGATGGGGCCTGTATAAAGCCAGGTAGCTGGCTGCATTGAGGGGCTGCTGCTGGAGCACATGTATGCGTCTTACCTGTGTTGAGGGGCTCCCCTTCAATGCTGCTGCTCCCACAAATTCTCCGTGCCTCCTCTGTACTCCAGTGCTTTGGTCAGAATCAGATAGCTCCATGGAAAATCCACACAGACCTCCCCTTTTTCCCCTGATGAGAAGGAATGTGGTGGGCTAGATTAGAAAGAAAGATGTGGGTGTGGAAGGAGAGAACCTAGAAGTGTGTTAAAGTTGCAGATGCTACTATGGAGCGCTGAGATACACGGTATATTGGTTTCAGTGGGGTGCACTGGATACGATGGTCCAGGAGCAGCAAATTAATAGTGCTCCTCTATAAATCCATCCACCTATTGTGGATGGAAGTTGGTGTTTCAACATGGTGCTCCTCCTGGGACTTGTGGTCATGGAGCAGGTGAGCAGGCCTCTAGCAAACTTCTCAGTGCCCTGAATATCTCCAGGTTTTCCCCCATTCTCTAGTTTATTCCTGGTATGCAGCATTGGTTAGCAAAATGTTACTGAGCATAGGGCAGGAGAGTTACGGTGGCATCCACCATTTTGAAAATTACTTGATGGTCTTCTGACCCTTGGGGCTGAGTAACAGGCTTTCTGAAGCCTTTCCCTCTTGAAAGCTGAGTGTGCTCTTTGTTTGGAATGTCTTTAGTCCTAGACCTGCAGGTTTTCAAGACCAGTAGCAGGCCTTGTAGAGCCTTTGTGGAACAGGTAAGACCAGCAGAACCTCTTAGGGTCAGAAAGATGTGAGGAGAATGGATAATGAGAATATCTGAGCTACTGGATAGACCCAGAGAGAAACATTTGTACTTAACGTTTGTTCCCCAAACTACTCAGAGTTGTAGCAGCAACTCAAAGAACTGAATATTAAGTCCCTTTCATTAGAGTCGGAAGCCCTCAATAGTCTGGAATTGTGATTGGGTGCTTAAGCCAAAGAACTTGCCAGGACTTTGCCATGAGGTGGTCATGTTAGAAGCACAGCATTTTGTGGCTGTGTGGGCAGTGTTCCATTCGCTGGGCAATAGATTTCCAGAAAGAAGTCTCCCAAGTTCCTGTGGTTTGTGGCTGAGTCCCTGTCTACCGGCTGACATAATGTCATCGGGTGTGGGAAAGGATATGATAATATTAGCTTAAGGATTGTGGCTCAGGAGGGGGAGGGGGATTTTGTTCACCCGATTTGGTTTGGCAGCATAAATTCTGTGCTTTCTAATTTCCGTTCCATTAAAACCTTTCCTGCCAAGGAGCTATTACCCTTGTGTTTACTACATCTGCAGTTTGCTCATACCATCCAGCAGATGATACTGGATTAATTTCCATGCATGGATTTCATTGTGTATCTTTCCAGTGGTTTCTCAGTGCCTCTTTGGCCATGTGATAGTCTATTTTAGTATGGTCACTTCGTTCTGATATTTTTCTCTTCATTTTATCTACCTTTTTGTCTTGCATTCACACGGCATCTTGGAAGAACATAACTGTTATGAGGTCAAAGACACAGGGCTTTGTTGTGGGATCATTCAGGCCATCATTAAAATTATTTTGAAATAACTAAAATCGATTTAATAACTCACAAAATTACAAAATTGAACTAGTCTGTCCTCACTATTGAGAAGTCTCAAAATTAGTCCGAGGCAGGCTCCATTCTTGTAGAGGTGCTACCTTAGTCTAGACGTACCCAGAGTCAATGAAGTGGGGATTTAAATATCCCTGGCTTCATTAAAATAAAAATGGCCGCCGTGCTGTGCCAGCTCAGCTGATCGTTGGCACAGTGCGGAAGTCAAGGCGCGGATTGGTTGACAGGGAACGCCTTTGTCAACTGCTCCCTTATGCTTTGTGAAATGAGGTTTACAGGGGCGGTCGACAGAGGCTTCCCTTATTGACTGATCCACTTCTTGACTCGCGCGCTGTGCTGACGATCAGCTGAGCCGGCACAGTGTGGCGGCCATTTTTATTTTAATGAAGCCGAAGATATTTAAATCCCCGCTTCATTGACTCTGGGTACATACTGTCGACAAAGCTTCTGTCGACAAGGAGCGTCTAGACTACATCCAGTTCTGTCGACAAAGCAAGCCGCTTTGTCGACTTGACAGTGTAGACGCAAAGGACAGTGTAGATTCAATAACACCTTCTGTCGACAGAACTCTGTTAACAAAAGGCATTATTCCTCACAGAATGAAGTTTACAGCCGTCGACAAAACTGCTGAATTCTGTCGACGTTATATCGACAGAACTCTGCGGCAGTGTAGACGGAGGCATAGTTCTGTCTACCAAAAATCCACTTTCGTTGACAAAATCCTGTAGTCTAGACACACCCTCTGTCAGGTAGCCTATTTTACATGCCTCTGTCGACAGAGTCATGTAATCTAGACGTACCCTTAGACACAAAGCCACCCTTCCTCGGACTGCGGGAGTTGGAAAGGCAGGTGGTTACTTGCGAGGCTGCTGATGTTATTGATCAGTTGTGAATGCAAGTGGCCAGGAAAGATGTGTCATAACTTTAGTCCTTAGTATTGCAGCTGATCTATGTTGTAAATAGAAAGGAGGGATTTCGCCTCTTGATTCAGAGCCCAGATTAGGTTTTGGCACAGAAGGCATCAAATCTCTTAATGGTTGGCAGAATTTGTGCATTGATGACTAGACATCTTGTCATCGTTTTGCTCCACAAAAATAGCAACCATTCTTAAGCCTTGGCCAGACTACTGACTCTAGTAATCTTTCCAACCGTCTTTTTGTGGGCAGCATTAGAGGCAACGTTTTTAACCGTGTCGGACCATCTTTCAAAGAAAACTACCCTCCCCCCCACCACTTAAATTCGAAATGCGGCAAGCAGCCCAAGGGTTAAGCAAATTGTTACCAGACTCTCAGTATGCAGACAAAGGAAATGAGGGGATAAAAATGAGCCACTTGTAGGGGGTTTTTGGTGGGTTTTGTTTGATTGTGTGTGTGTGTGTGTGTGTGTGTGTGTGTGTGTGTGTGTGTGTGTGTGTGTGTGTGTGTGTGTGTGTGTGTGGTTGGTTTCATCGCTTTATCTTCAAGTCAGACCCTAATGGGGAGGTAAAACGTAGCTGTAAATGAGCACTGTAGCTGACTGAATTTCCGTTTTAGCAGCGTTCCTATTTTGAAGAGCCTTCTGTTCTAAACTAGTGTTCTTTCTGGGGTAGCTTAGCTGTTATGCACATTTAGATTAATGTTGATGGGCTTTAGATTAATTAAGTCTAAAACGAATAACAGGTCAGATGTTATCGTCCCTGTTTACTTTTGTGCACTTTTTGTAAATTATACTGGCTTCTCTGAGGGGTGCAAAGTGCCTCTTTCCTTCATGGCTCCTCGTAGGCCACATTCTGTTAATCTGTGTGAGCCTCGACTTGGCATACCGGCAGCCCAGCTGCCTTTGTGCTGTGATCTCGACGGGCTTCCCCAGCTGAATTGGGTCAGGCCTGACCAAGCCGTGAGCTTGCTGATGCTTCACAAATAAATAAGAATCCTAGAATGCACGATGGCTGTAGAAAGCCGTCAGGGAGGTGATTCAATGGAGGAATTCCTCCATGTGATTTTGCATTCTACTTCTGCCCTTGCATGGAGTACGGATGTTAAATATCGGTTAATTAAATACATCGATTAACCTCATGAATTCTGATTGGCTATTCGACTAGTCTCTCATCCCCGGGGGACGGGCCGGCAGCCAATGTGCTCCAGTCCCACTCCCGAGGAACCCCCTGCCGCTCTGCGCTGTTACTGCTGTATCAGAGGCAGCAGTGTGGAGTACCAGGCGGGAGCTGGCCCATGAGGGGGACCAGTTTAAAAACCAGCTCCCCTCGCGGACCGACTGCCTGTTGCCCTGTGCTGCTGCCTCTGATACAGAGGCAGCAGCATGGGGGGGCAGCAGCCCCTATTTGGGGGAGGTCTGAGCACCCAGATCTGGCACAAGCCGGACCTGAGCTGGGTTGGCTGCCTGCCCGGCTCCTAATACACTTAAAATGCAGAGCCTCAGCAGGGGTAGGTCCCAGACCTGGCACAAACCAGGACTGAGCCAGGCTGCTGAACAGCCTGCTAAAAAATATACTGTCGGGCAGGGGGGAAGGCATGTAGTCTATAGCATTAACCTACAAGCTTTTGCTTATGGTTAATCAACTATACTGTTACATCCCTAGCATGGAGTTGAGGGTACTGCGCCGCTAGAGAGGCCATCTTTCTGGTCAAATGTAAAACTAAGTTTCTGACCACTTGTGAATTACAGTGTGGAAGCTTTACTCTATAAAACCTCAGGGCCCTAGCTGATAGCCAACATGAGTAGTCAAATTTTGTCTCTGTAGTTTTCTCTTCCAGTTTAAATTGGGTCTGGTAATCCTCATCTTCTGTCCCAAACGAATGTGTTGTGTAGCTGCACACCGTAGACAGCTGTGCATTCGATCCCAGATGTGACTGAAGTGACCTCCATGTCCCTTACCTACGGTGCCTCCCCGGAGACATTGAGGGGATTAATCAGTTAATATTTGCAAAGAGCTTTGAGATCCCTAGATAAAAAAGGTGCTAGGTATTCGAAGAGAAAACAGAACAACTCCCCTCTTCACTATTCTTGTTACTAGAGAAACCATACAGGTGGGGGTAATCATTTAGGATGCGTCTACACAGCACCCAAAACTAAAAATAAGGTACACAGTATGCGCTACGCAAATTGCATATCTGATTTCAAATCTATTTCGAAATAGCTTATTTTGAAATTTGGCACATCTACACAGTGCCAGATTTTGAAATAACATGCTATTTCGAGTCATCCCTTATCCCTTGTGCAACGAGATTTACTAGGACGGTGAAATAGCACACCGTTATTTTGAAAATATTTCGAAATAACGGGTGGCTTGCGTAGCTGCAGGGTTGCTCTTTTGGCCTACCTCCGAAATAGCCGTGCAGTGTAGACATACCCTTATTGCTTAGCACTAGCAGACTCATCAACAGGACTGGCTCACCTCAGGACACAGATACAATGGTGAGGAACAGAGCGAAAAATGACCTAACTAGAAGAGAATGATCTTTTCACAGCCGTTGCTACGATTGAATGAATAAACACCCGTTGTACCCAAGGAGCATAGCGACGTTCTTGTGACACGCAGTATCAAAGGCAGCCGAAGGAACCCCGGTCTAGTAGAGGGGAATTGAGACATGCAGTTTTCATCCCTGTGATAGGAGGCAGGTTTTCCATATCCCCTATTTATACCTCTGTCAGGAAAGATAGCAAAGTCTTGTCAGAAAACCAGCCCGTCTCTACAGATGTCTTGAATCAGCTCGTTAGTGTGAACCAGGGAGACTTATAAAAGCAGCAGCCACGGGAGCACAGAAAGAAGACTTAATTCTCGTCTGAGCATCCTGCGACAGAAGGAACAGGAGAGCTTTGCAATTCCTTGCCTTAAAGTTTACTTTTCTCTTTCAATGTTTGGCTCTCCTGTAGGTGATCTCTCTAGGTGTTTGCTTAGGGTTTCGTGTGGTAGTAATTTGCGAGGTGTAGTGTGAACTATGGTTTATTTGTAATATAATTCTTGTGGGGGGCCTCTTGTTTATAGGCTGGAATAGTATAGTAGTTGCTTATCCTTTATTTACCATATTGGTTTCTGCAAATTAAGTCCTTCTGGTATCCCTGATCTCTCCTCCGCCCCCCTCGACTGCGATCTTCCTGCTCCATGGATTCTGACCATGTTTCCCTCCTTCCCTTTCAAATCTCTGCACATCACCCTTCATCTGGGATGCATTCACAGGAGTGTTGTGAGAAGTCATTCTTCTGCTCTACTCTGCGCTGATTTGGCCTCAGTTGGAGTTGTGTGTCTAGTTCTGGGCACCACATTTCAGGAAAGATGTGGAACATTGGAGAAAGGCCAGAGAAGAGCAACAAAAATGATTAAAAGGCTAGAAAACATGAGCAATGAGGGAAGACTGAAGGATTGGACTTTAGTTTGTAAAAGAGAAGACGGAGAGGGAACACGATAGCAGTTTTCATGTAGGTTCCCCCTACGTGCCCGTGCCCCTGACGGTGGGAGGAGACTTCCCACGCTCTCGCTTCTGCCCCCAGGCCTATCAGGGTTTGGAGGGCAGGGAGTGCATGAAGTCTCCTCTCACCCTGCCAAGAACACGGACATGGCACTTCTAAGTGCTGCACACTCCCCATGCGCTTCCCTCTGCCCCCAGGTCAATTACGGCCTGGAGGCAGGGGGGCGGCAGGGCCTCCGGGCCGGATCAATCCATTTGGCGGTCTGGATCTGGCCTGTGGAGGCCCTTTTGCCCACCCCTGATCTAGACGGTGCTTGGTCCTGCCATGAGGGCAGGGGACTGGACTCGATTACCTCTCGAGGTCCCTTCCGGTTGTAGGATTCTATAATTAAACAGTTGTTCAACTCTATCCATGTCTGATTATTCAATATAGTCTTTCACTGTATTGAATATTTGCTCCTCTATTTCCATGGGTGTCCTCTTTATCTGCTTTTCCTGCGGCCCCATAGGGCCTCTGGCACAAGGGCAATGTCTTCTCAGTTCTGACCTGCCAAGCTGCTCCCTATTTTCATTCAGATTGTTCCTGAAGACGCTCTGCTTCTGTAGCACTCACAGACTCCATTATAACTGGGGCAGCTAGATGCACAAATGCCTGAACTAAGAAACTGTAACTTTATTGCTCCAACCCTCCTGCTTGCTCACTCCATCCTTTCTACTGATCTAGCCTCCCCTGTGTCATGTCTAAAATTAGGCTATCAGAACCGGTTCTCTCCGCTTGTCCCGTAAAGGGGTTACCCTGCGCTGGGGGCCCTGTAATATTAAATGGTGGAAATCTTAGCCTTGTCGTTTTTCTGGATGTGCAGAGGTAGGAGCCAATTATTTACAACTTGCATATTCGAGTTACTCTTTACATTCACGGAAAGCTTTTGATCTCTGTCTTCTGATAGATACTGAGGAAGCTCAAGAGCCTCGCCTTAGAAACAGACGCGGAACTGGAGAGACAGGATGAAGTTCTCGACGTCCTTACCACCTCTGTAGATCGGGCGACTTTGAATATCGACAAGCACAACCGCAGAATGAAGAAGCTAACGTAGCACCCGTGTGAGCCAGTGGGTTTAATAACCAGAGGGATTGTGCAATGATATATTTGTCAGACTATGTATAGAAGTTTTGATTGTACAGGAGCCATCTATCATATTATCTTGAATGCTGCTGTGGAACTTTGGGGAGCGGGGAGGAGCAGGATGGGGAGGGAAAGGAATGTGGAAACATTTCCGTGCTGGGATAATTTTTAAAGGCATTTTAAACTTAAAAAGGCCTAAACCGTTGATCGTCTGGAAACAATGACTGTGAAATCCCTGCTACAGAAGATCCTTAAATGTAAAATATTGGGACCACCTCTGAATTGATGTTCATGCCACATGCTAAGTTACTGCTTTTGAAAAGTAACTTTTCTGTAATAAGAGCGAAGATGAGTAGGCAGTGTGGCTCTACCAGATAATTACAGTCCAAAATTCTTGCAAGTTCTCTCCAAAAACAGAGGCAAAGTAGAAGTTGACCAATCCCCACTTAGCACCAGGAGTCCCGTTTCAAGTTGTTGAATTTCACAAATTAGTGACTGAGTGAAGACGCCGAATGGCTAACGATAAAATAACTTTGTTCACTTATTGTACGAATGTAACCGAGCGTTAGTGAAGGTTTTAAAGGAATGAAGTCTTGGTAATACAAGAGCTTGCTGCAGCTCTGAGCTGTGAAGTCTTTGGCAAGCAAGTAAAGCCAGACGACGTGTGTGTGAGTTAGTGAGGAGTTCAGTTGAATGTTGCCAAAGGATAAGTGTGTTGCTCCTTAAGTAGTTTGCTGTAAATAAGTGTCGAAGCAAAGTGGAGACTTTAATTTTCCAAAAGGAAATTCTTGATCTTGTACACTGGCAATTGCTTTGTCTCTTATCCTGAATGACAGTGCTTAGAAATAATAGTACAGGAGAGGGTAAGTTCACTGCACTATAATGGAGATGTTTTGGTAGGAGTGCTTGAAGCACACAAGTCTGTTCTGAAGGAACTTGGAGTACTTTGTGCCTATAAAGACCCTCACTTCTGTACAAAGAGCTTTTCTGAATGATTTTGGTGGGCTGACATCCTTACAAATCCATTTCTAGAAATCCGATGATGGCTTAGCACAGATTCTCCAGGGCACGACACATCATTTCATGACCTCTCTTGGATGCTATGAGGTTCAGGTTCATAAATTGTTTAGCATGCCTTCGTTTTCCAAGAAACACACTCGTCGTCCCTTCATGCTACATGGGGCCATAGGGAGCCTGGTGGTTCTACTCCAGACCTATGGGTTGAGTGTCTCCTGATCAGCGCTGTACATATTCTCGTTGCCTCGTGGTATTTATGAAAACGCGATGGACCGCCTTCCTCCTGTCATGATTTTCCTTTGAAATAACTGGGATGTGTGAAGACAAGACTTCTTGTCAAACCAGTCTTGCATCATGACTGCATTGCCTTTCCGAAATAAAAGGGAGTACCTGTAAATAATGTATCTAAATAGTTATTGGTTTTATTATCGTGGATGTTAGAGTTCACAATCTAGATGTAATTGATTTTAGTTCCACACAATATAGTATACATTTGTGTCTCCTACCAGAAAAGCCGTTGCCTAGAATAGGTTCTAAATTGTCCGCTGCCCTGCACACAGGCTGACTTTTCTGGGCCCTGGGTAAGGGGCGGGGCTTTCCAGGCCCCCGAAAGGGGCAGGCCCTCAGGCAGAAGGGGTGGGGCTAGGAGCTAGTCAGCCCATCAGCACCACCTGGCAGACGCCATCCTGGACTCTGGCGATAATTTAAAGGGCCCGAGGCTTTGGCCGCTGCCATTTCTTCTGTAGCAGTGGCCAGAGGTCCTGTACCCTTTTAAATTGCTGGGCCCCAGGAGAGCTGTTCCCCCTCCCCAGTTGATGAGCCTGCCTGTAGCAGAGAACTGGGAGGGGGTTCATTTCTTCTCACTGCTACCCATGTCATTTTCTCCACTATAGCCTTCCAGTTCCTTTGCTTTAAAGAATACTGGTGTAACCTTGGTCACTTCAAATTGTTCTATGATAAGCTGATGGTGAATTATCACCATGTAACTTTACCGATTAAAATCTTTGTAAATGCCAAAGTTTTGAACTGGGGAACCCACTGATAAGTCATGGGATTGCTTCATTTCAAAGCAACATGGATGACAGTAGGAGTAGATGGGAAATGACCTAGAGAAATAACAGTCTTGAAAACAATATAGTGTAGATCTGTCCAATGTAATAGCTGACTACAAGTCCCGTATTTGCTCTGAGTTGTTATGGGCATGCATTAATTAATGTCTTGTTCTGTGTTCCTGAATGTAGTCATTTTGAAGCATATGAAATACAAAGTGTGACGTAACAATAAATGATACTGTCTAGCACATCTGTTTCTTAGTTTTAAATACCCCAAATAACTGTTGTCTTCATGTGATGAGAAAACATGTTTACAAGATAACTTATTGTATGAAACTTGTTTAGAAATTCACTTTGCACAAAAGCACGTTTTGGTGTGAAGAAATTTGGACCTGGTGCTGATTTAGGATTGATTCTTACATTAATTAATCCACTAAGATTGCCAAAAACAGATAGCATTTGTACTTAACTAGACTAAGTGTGCTGTTCTTTTTGTCATGACTGGTTTAGTTTGGTCTAACATGTTTGTATCTAAACCTGTAGGAGTTAAAAGTTTTCTGTGCATTTCTGTCCAGATGAATTTCATCTATACGGAATTCACTTGGATTCTGTAACTTGCTCTTTACTCTTAATAAAATATCTTGAAATATAGGGGGGAAAGTCACTATCTTCATTTCCTTATACCAAGATTTCTCGTGTGTGTGTGTTTTGTTTGTTTTTTGGTTTTAGTGTGGGCCACTAAAGTGTATGTTTGAGGGAGGCCTACCCAACTCGTTACAGCCATCTTCCATCTCATTTGCAATCATGTAACATCTCTGTGGCAACTACAGACGTTGCTTACGTGGAAAAGTAACTGTGCTATATCTAGTTCTCTTTAGTGTGATAAATGTGTTTGTCTCATTTGGGAAAAGGTCAGTCGCACTCTTTACTTATACATTTCAGTCCCATCCTTCCGTCCGGGCTGTAGCTCTCCGTCGGCCACCTGCACACGCTCACAGCTATTTTTACACTACTGTTTGGAAATCTTTAGTTCCTACCTTTTTTGTAGTACCTAATGCAACACGTTGGCTTGTTCAGATGCCCTCAGGATTTTACTTGAATGCAGGTCCCTTCCTTCCTACCCAAGGAACATCAGAAACCTCTGACAATGAACCAGAATTCATATGGCGTTCATGTGTCGTCACTTTCTGACCATTCAAAGGATTTGTAAGGGGAAATCTGCACTCCATATATTCTAACCAATATTGTGTCCCAGAAGCAGGCTCTACTATTGTGCAAAACCCAGAGTCTCCTTGAATTCTTTAGACTATGGGAAAATTGCCTCAGTACTCAAATTTTCAATTACTTTCACAGTTACTTGGCCCATGTGTTTATTGGTCAGGTCCTGCTACCCGAGCAATAAGAGCCCCCTTGAGCTTCAGTCATGGCCAGTGGCGAGAGAGGACTTGTATGCTGGGCATTGTTAGAGAAGAAACAGGTGAAAAACGCTGCTGTTTTTGTGTGGTGGTGGGGTTTTTTTTCCAAAAAATGTTAACTGTGAAGAATAAAGTCACATTAGAGAACGTACAGCAGCCAGTGGATCCAAAAAATGAAGTACAGTAAAACTCCAATAGTTCGGCATCCGATAGTCCGGCACTCCTGATAGTCCAGCATCAAAATGGCAAGAGCCTAGTGAGTGAGCTTCAGCAAAAAATGAGTCACAAGGTAGCAGCAGCAGCAGCTGAACTGAGAAAAAAGGCTTACTATAACATTACAGTATACTGTATACAGTATGTACAATAAAAAGGGTTACGAACACTTTATATACAGTATATAATGAATATTCATATATATATATAAAACCAGCTTATAGTACTTCCTGATAGTCCGGCATATCTGATAATCCGGCACCACCTAGGTCCCATAGGTTCCGGATTATCGGAAGTCTACTGTATTTTGACTCTTCAGTGAAATGCATTTTAGACTGCGTAAAAAAGTTATTTCTAAAATGTGCCTTAATCGGTATAGATTGTAAGCTGTTTGAGCCAGGCACTTTTGTATTAAGTGTGTATGATGCCCAGCACCATACAACCTAAATCCATAATAAAAATAGAAAACAGTAATCTAGTCTTTTAAAAATATATCATTTCAGCAGGGTGTTTTATTGAACACTACACAATTGCACAATGCATAAATAGTCTGCTTTCAAGTTCCTGGGCGTAGAGTGATTTCTGGATATAGCCCCAGTTCTGTGGCTTTCCTGTCGAAACTAATTTTGCTTCTGTGGAATCAATGAAATGTTCCAGTAATAAGCACGGCACTTTACGCTTCTCATCTGAGAATCGCGAGGTGCTTTGCAAGCAGTTAATTAATTAAAGCCTCACAACAGTTCGCTGTGTCTCCAAAGCTGCATGCCCCGAGAACGCCAAGTTGTTCTCCGTCGAAGGAAATGTAGTAAGCCTGCCCGCAGCTGTTAAGGCTGCATAGGGTCACATTGGCTGTCAGAGAAACTGGCTGCAATCTCTGCCCTGATTCATTTTTAATAGAGCCAAACATGGCAGCAGCATCGCTTTGCTTTCCACCGTGTGCGGATTATGTCAAACCTCGGCGTGGTGGAGAAAAATAATTGTGTAACTGGGCCTAGTCATGAGTTCAGCTGCTAGCATCGGTTAAAGTAAAAGTTCCTGGCTGTCTGAGCTCCCTAGGCCTGAGTGTTGTGGTATTGGATCTGATGCTTGGTTTCTCTCTTCTCAGGCTTTGTCAACACTGCACGCTTGTTTCAAAGTAACAGTGTGTGTCTTCCTACCAAGCCTGTTACTTCAAAATAATTTCAAAATAATGGGATTCTTACTCCGACATCTGTAAGCCTCATTTCATGAGGAGTAAGGGAAGTTGAAGGAAGACTGTTCTTCCTTCGACTTCCTGCTGTGTAGACAGCATCAAAAGCCAAGTTAAGCTATTTCGACTTCAGTTAAGCAATTCATGTAGTTGAAGGTACGTATCTTAACTTGACTTTAGCCCACAGTGTAGACGTGCCCTAATGGAGCAGCTTCAACATCCCCTTACCAATGTGGACAGAAGGGAGAAGCTATCAGTTTCACGCCCATCATCTGCTGAGTTTCATCCATCAGACGAATCTCTTGACAGCAGTAACCTTACTCCTAAGTATGAGCAAGGCTGGTAGATGCTTTTCTTAGAGCCCAGCTAACTTTGAGGTCACTGGAGCAGGAGTCCAGCTGCGTGAGGTTCAGGGTGCTGAAAATGCAATGAGCTGCTGGATTCAGACAGTGGCGAACCTGCCGCCTGTTTTACATCATCAAGCAAATGCTCTGCCACTGAAAAGTCAAATCGGGTTTCTGTTGGATGGTTTAATTTTAAGCCTTGAATAATGTGTACAGATGTGGTCGCTTCATCTCAAAAAAAGATAAATTGGCATTGGAAAAGGTTCAGAAAAGGGCAACGAAAATTGAGGGGTTTGGAAATGGGTTCCCTCTGAAGAGAGATTAAAAAGACTTGGACTTTTCAGCTTAGGAAAGAGGAGGCTAAGGGGGGATATGATAGAGGTCTATAAAACAATGACTGGTGTGGAAAAGGGAATAAGGAAAAGTTATTTACTTATTCCCACAGTATAAGAACTAGGGATAATGAAATGAATAGGCAGCAGGTTTAAAACAGACAAAAGGAATTTTTTCTTCGTGCAGTGCACAGTCCACCTGTGGAACTCCTCGCCAGAGGATGTGGTGAAGACTAGAATTTTAACAGCTGTCAAAGGAGAGTTAGATGAATTTGTGGAGGTTATGTCCATCAATGCTTATTTGCCAGGTTGGGTAGGAATGATGTCCCTAGTCTCTCTTTGTCTGGAAATGGATAACAGGAGAGGGATCGCGTGATGATTACCTGATGTGTTTCCTCCCTCTGGGGCATCTGGTATTGGCCACTGTTGGCAGACAGTATACTGGGCTAGCTGGACCTTTTGCTCTGACCCAGTATGACCACTCTTATGCTGGCTGGCATCCAGTGGCTGTGACATGTCAATATGAGCCACGTGTCCTCTCCTGGTTAGGTGACTGCTCCATGTTGTGGTACCGGAGGGCCTACAAGAAGGAATAGCTGACCTCTTGGAATTGTCCTCCCCCAGCCTTTCAGATGACCACTTCTCTGTCCGCTGTGGACCCACACAGATGTTCCCTCGGAGGTTTGAGTAACAAATGGAAGGGGTGTGCGGACAAAGGAACATTTCCCACTGTGGGGAGACAGAGCTGATCTTAAATTCTTTAGCCCCGTTGAGTTACACGGCATTGAGAGCGAGACGAGGGAAAAAAACCTACTCAGAAATGTTCTGATTTGTTCCACGCTGCATGTGTTTTTAATTTAATACTTTATTCGGCGGTGAACCTTGTTTACAGCCATGAAGTCACAGATAGAGACAGGGAAAGCAATTGCGGGTAGGTAGTCATGCCAAGGTCTCACTTCCATTACAGCACCTTCTGTTGAGTGCTTACAGTCTTGCCAACTCCCCATGTGCCAGAGGCAGAAACAGAAACAGTGCTCACTAAAATAACTTTCCGGCCCTAATACTCCTTATGAAACAAATCCATTACATTGCTGTAGAAATGCCCATCCCATTGCCTCTTGGGTCTAGTTAAAAATACAACACAACAAAACCACAAACTTGTAATTTTTAAAGGTACAAATACACGCTCGTTTTCTTCTATTGGTTGTGTATGGTCCTTAGCCCGATGGGGACACGCTCCTTGATGGAGGCGCCTAGGTGCTACTGCCATATGACTAGTCGATAATACGCCAACTTTCAGCTGCACCTCTCAATGCACTTTTCAAAGGTGTGGATGGCATCACCAAAGCAGAGAGAGACTGAGGGGTGTCTGAGTTTGTGGGAGGCTGGATGTGGGTTCTCTGGCCTGGTGTTCAGTATGGTGTCAGGAGCTGACTTGGAAGCCAAAGAGAAGAGGGTTGGGGCTGTCAGAAACGAGGGTGGAGAGGGTGGAACAGGGCAGAGTTGAAGTTGAGAACCAGAGATGAGACACGGGCTCAGATCACAGATGCCAAGGCGTGTAGCAGCACTATGGCAGGATCCATCTTGCTGCACAGACAACTTCCTGTGTCTTTCTGACTTTAAATTATGTACCCGGCCCAATCAGAGACCTTACAGCTCCTCCAATCAGGTCCATGTGGGCGATACCTTTAAGGGAGAGTAAGATCTTAGACCTCCCAATTCTCCCACCAATAGCACAGCGGTCAGGTCAGGTTCCAAAAGCATAGGGACCAGGTTCCGGATCTATGGATTCTCATAGATGGTGCCTAAAGTTAGGCGTCTATAATCATAATAGTCTAAATAAATGTTCTTGTTTGTCACGGACACATGGGCTGTGTCTAGACTGGCAAGTTTTTCCGCAAAATAATCTGATTTTGCGGAAAAACTTGCCAGCTGTCTACACTGGCTGCTTGAATTTCCGGAAAACCACTGACGCTCTCATGTAAA